AGGATAAAGATTTAAACAGCGTGAAACAATGTCAACGTGCTGTACATTCTTTCAGTTCATGTGTCTCACCAATCTCCAGAGCTCTCCGGGTGAGTGAAGAGGTGGAGAGGAAGGTCTCATCCTTACAGGAACGAGTCACCGTGCCAACAAGCTCAGAGTTGGTTGCTAAGATACGGGCACTCTCCTCTGACAAGTTGACTCCTGCCATGGAGGCCACATCGTTGATATCATCATCGTCCCTGGGTGAAGTAGTAAAAGTACAACATATTTGTCACAACACAGTACAATACAAATGTTTTACCAAAATAATTTTCGGTTTCCTTTGTGAGGTAACTATGGACAGCAACTTGATACATGGTACCAGTTAGATGAGAAATTTATGGGCACCTCAATAATATTACTGTTTTATGAACAAATTTGTTTCGCATCATAAACCAGTCGATTACTTACACTTGTACAGACTAATGCAATCTAATACAATACGCCTGTAATAAATCCTATCCACTGCTGTCTGTAAGCCAAATTGGCCCCCTAGGGTGCACATTAACCTGTTCCTTTGTAAATGCAGAAATACTGGTTTTGTTGACTGTGTCACAAAAGGTGCAACTACATTGGATATGAATTACCCATAAATGCTTATGAGGTCATTAATTAACATAATTACTGCATTAATTAGCAAATGTGTCTGTGTTAACTGCCTTATCATTAAACAACACAAGGGTGGTAAAATATGAACAGAAATCAGGATAATAAAGTCTACGTCCTAGAATCTCCCAAAGAGAGACAGTTAAAGTACACACCTACACAGATTCATTTACATACGGCCTGGATCAGTGGTTAGAATGATCAAAAAATTCTGGGCACATATAAATGTGTGGCTCAACACTGGTGAAATAATGTTACACTAAATCAAAGCCTGAGAGAATATAAAACAGGATTTTGCAAGTCTTAATGATGTTTTTTTCTCTTTTTAGTTTTTGAATGTTTGAATCCTTTCTTTCAATTTTATTGACTCAAATTTGCATGGTGCATATTAAATCTGTTTGCGCAGATGCATGAACAGCTTTCCACCGATTCTGCAGTGCTATCTATATCTTTTTCACACATGTCAATGCACAATGCCTGATTACTGATATTCAGCACATTCTCTCTGTGTCAAGTGAAAATTTAATGAAAATGTAAGGAGCAAGGTCTACCAGAACTTAATATAATAATCCATTATGTGGCGGAGTCTTGATTTGTAGTTTTCTGCTTTGTACTATATGTCTGTTGAGCTGTGTTCACAAAAATGAATCAACACAGATGAGAGCTGAATAACATAATGCCCTCTATATAGGTATATAGTATCACATGCTGGGTCATCATCTGAGTCTGAAAACTAACAATTACTTTCATATAAACTCATAAACAAATTAATAGTTTGGTGTATACAATGTCAGAAATGATTTTTTTTCAACCAACCAATGGTTAAAAAGGAGACATTGAGTATTACATCACTCAGGATAGCAGCCAGTGAAAAAACATACTACTAAAAAAAACACTACTGATTAATTTTTTGCCGTTCCAACTCTAAAATACTTCTCAAATTGATTTTGTTAAATGGAGAAAAACGTAAGTTTGCATGTCTTTGCTAACTGCTGACATAGTTCAAACATCAAACATAATAATTTAAAAACGCTTTAGATCAAAGACTTTTGAGAATGTAAAAATACTGAAACTAGAGGACTTCTAAAACTCCTGGAATGCTAACAATTTGGAGACCAGTGTTTAGTTAGTTAGTTTACTTTAAATCTGGCACAAACCTGAAGGTTCCTCCTCCTGCTTCCTTCAGCTTGTTCCTCTGAGCAGCAGTGAGAGGGGCCTGACTGACTACTTGTACTCCTCTGGCCACCGGAGCCAACGTCTGCTTCATTGCTGGGATTAATACAAACACACACCCACACCCACACCCCCACACCCAGCACCCACCCACACACACACACAGAGAAAAGTAGAGTGCAGATTGTTTGTTTAATACATACATAATACATTCACTATGGTGTGAATCTAATTTCTGATCGATTTAGAATCAAATGTTTGGACAAGCATCCTGCAATTACAGAAGTATCCACAAGGTGGGAGCACTTCCATACTGTACATGGTCAATGGGTGATGGACCAAATGCAGACAAGACTCGGATGTAACCAATGTATTTTGTTTTTTCACTGAGCACTGTATGATTTACCAAATAAAGGCACTGTGCAACATTCAGAGCATTAGTACAGATTTTATATGCCTACTGAAAAACAAGATGTAAGAAATAAAAGAAGTGTAAGTGACTGTTGAACACACACCTGTCTGTAACTGTTTGACCATCTGCGGCTGGCCCACAATGATGCGGCTATGAGATTGCCCTCTGAGTGTTACCATGGGAGACTGGGCCACCGTCACCTGGGGCCTCACCATTGTCCCCTGTTGCTGGGGCACTATCTGCGCACATTCAGAGACAAAGAATGAGAATAAAAGCACAGACAAGAATAGAAGCGTTAACTCTTCCATGCAAGGTTTCCGCTTTTATGTGCATGCCAATCTCTGAATTCAGATACAGGTTATAATTCCCACGAGCAGGAAAATTACCAGTCCAGGTTTACTGTGGGGTGCCTGAGTGAGGCTGATAACTGTGGTTTTGGTCGCGGCAGTGCTGGTGGCTGTGGTGGCGGCGGTAGAGAGAGGAGGTCGCAGCACCACAGCGGTGAGGGCTGTGGAGGCGGCTGCGGCTGCTGTTGGAGTGTTGGTCTGAGGCAGCAGGCTCTGCTGGATGAAGGCCTCTGAGTCTGGGGTCATCTGACGCAGCGCTGGGAGACTTCTCTACAAGTAGACGGGGCAGAGAGAGTGACC